CAGCCTGGGTAACAAGAGCGAAACTCCGTCTCAAAAAAAAAAAAAAAAAGAAAAAGAAAAAAGGTAACAATCATTTGAGCCTTCAGCAAGCCCTAATCTCTTTGCCTCAGTGTTGATGGCTGCCAGCTGATCAGGGTGGCAGTTGCTGCAGGTTGGAGTGGCTGTGGCTATTTCTGAAAATAAAATAACAATGAAATTTGCCACATCGATAGATTCTTCCTTTCATGAAAGATTTTTCTCTGCAGCATGAAATGCATTTTATCCACAGCAGAATTTCTTTCAAATTGGAGCTAATCCTCTGAAATCCCACACTGCTTTATCTATTAAGTTTACGGAATATTCTAAATCTTTTGTTGTCATTTCAACAGTTTTCACAGTATATTCAAAAGTAGATTCCATCTCAAGAAACAACTTTCTTGGATCATCCGTAAGAAGCAACTCCTCATGCATTAAATTTTAACATGAGATTGCAGGTATTCTGTCCTACCTTCAGGCTCCACTTCTAACTCCAGCTCTCTTGCTCTTTCTACCACATCGGCAGTTACTTCCTCCTCTAACATGTTAAATCCTCAAGTCATTCATGAGGCTTGGAATCAACTTCTTCTGAACTCCAGTTATTGTTGATATTTTGACTTCCTTCCATGAATCATAAATGTTCTGAGTGGGATCTAAAATTCAGAAGATTTTAAATTTACTTTGCCCAGATCCGTCAAAGGAATCACTGTCTATGGCAGCTACAGCCTTACAAAATGTACTTTTAAATAATAAGATGTGAAAGTTGAAAGTACTCCTTGATCCATGGGTTGCAGAATAGATATTGTGTTCACAGGTAGGAAAACAGCATTAATCTCCTTGCACATCTCCATCAGAGCTCTTGAGTGACTAGGTGCATTGTCTATAAGCTGTAATATTTTCAAAGGAATCTGTTTTTCTGAGTAGTGGTCTCAACAGTGGGCTTAAATTATTCAGTAGACCATTCTGTAAATAGATGTGCTATCATCAAGGCTTTAGTTGTTCCATTTATAGAGCACAGGCAGAGTAGATTCAGCATAATTCTTAAGGCCTTAGGATCTTTCGGGGTAGTAAATGAGCACTGGCTTCATCTTAAAGGCGCCAGCTGCATTAGCCCCTAACAAGAGAGTCTGCCTGCTCTTTGAAGCTTTGAAGCCGGATATTGACCTCTCACTAGCTGTGAAGGTTCTAGATGGATATTCTTCCAAAAGAAGACTGTTTTGTCTCCATGGAAACTTCTATTGTACACTGTAGCCACCTTCATCAATGACCCTAGCTAGATCTTCTGGATAACTTGCTGTATTTATTCATCAGAACCTGCTGCTTCTCTTTAGACCTTGGTGTTATGGAGATGGCTTGTTTCCTCAAACGTAGTCAATCAACCTCTGCTATCTGCATACTTTTCTTCTGCAGCTTCCTCACCTCTCTTAACCTTCATAGAATTGAAGCAAGTTAGGCCCTTGTTCTGGATTAGTCTTTGGCTTAAAGAAATTGTATAGCTGGTTTGATCTTCTATCCAGATCACTAAAGCTTTGTCCAAGCAATAAGGCTGTTTCACTTCCTTATCCTTCATGTGTTCCCAGGAGTTGAACTTTTCATTCCTTCAATATCTATTTTCCTTTGCATTGACAACCTGGCTAACTGACATGAGAGGCTTAGCTTTTGGCCTGTCTCAGCTTTCAACATGCCTTCCACATTAAATTTAAACATTTCTAGCTTTTGATTTAAAGTGAGAGACACATGACTCTGTTTTTCGCTTAAACACTGAGAACCCATTACAGGTTTATTAGCCGGCCTAATTTCAATATCATTGTGTCTCAGGGAATAGGGAGGCCCAAAGAGAGAAAGAGAGTGGGGGGAACAGTTAGAATACTCACAACATTTATCCACTAAGTTTGCTGTCTTACCTGGGCATGATTCATCATGCCCCAAAACAATTGCAATGGTAGCATCAAAGGTCACTGATCACAGATCACCATAACAAATACAATAATAATGAAAACGTTTGAATTGTTTTGAGAAGTACCAAAATATGACAGAGACATGAAATGAGCATATGCTATTGGGAAAATGGTGCTGGTAGACTTGCTCAACACAGAGTTGCCACAAACCTTGAGTTTGCAAAAAATGCAACGTCTGTGGAGTGCAATCAAATGAGGTATGCCTGTATCGGTAACTGAAAAAAAGCAAGCAGTTGAACAAACTGGGAAGGGTTTCCCATTTATGTAGAAAGGTAAATGTGCAAACTTAGTCTGGCACAATCTATCTTCCCTTGCCGCGAAGGGAAGGAAAGGTCTCTGCAATGATGGACAAATCGAGGCTCACTGGGAATTCTCAGCTCACCTTTCACATGTCCCGCTATAGATTAAATTGTACTAGGAACATATCAGTTACTCCCTAAATTGCCTAAGGGAGAAGAGGAACAAAGAGGAATAATCTAAGAACCTAAGTTTACTCAGGTTTTCTTAGACTTTTTCAATCTTCTTTCGAAATATAGACATATGGGCCAAGCACAGAGGCTCATGCTTGTAATCCCAGCACTTTGGAAGGCTGAGGTGAGTAGATCACTTGAGGTCAGGAGTTCGAGACCAGCATGGCCAACATGGTGAAACGCCATCTCTACTAAAAATACAAAAATTAGCCAGTGTCGTGGCATACGCCTGTAGCCCCAGCTACTCGGGAGGCTGAGGCAAGAGAATCACTTGAACCCAGGAGGTGGAAGCTGCAGTGAGCTGAGATCATGCCACTGAACTCCAGCCTGGGCAACAGAGCAATACTGTCTCAAAAAAAGAAAAAGAAAGAAATACAGACGTACGTTCTTTTTACACAGATGATATTGTAGATACACAGCAATAGAATAAAATATTTCCCTAGACGCTCAGCTTCTGATTAGGATCAGAAAGATCAAGAAACAGCAAAACAAATACATGATCACCCTAAAACTGCCAGGATATTCCAGAGCAAAATTCTTTCTTAATGTTTCAGTTCATTGCCTATGCATATACACTGTTCAATTAACATATTTCAAATCCACTGTCTAAAAACAGTGACAGAATATCTGCCTTTAATTGTCTTTAAACTAGGCCTACTTTTAAGGACCCTAATGTGGCAGAAGATAATAAAGAAAATGTTAATACCATTTAGACTAGGCTCAGAGGTTTTAAATTTTTTTTTTTTTTTTTTTTTACTTTGTTAATAATGTCTCTCACCCTCACTTTTTTTTCTCTATAGAAGAAATTATTTCATTTGGAGAGGTCGTGCATTGGCACAGGCAGAATGGTGTGGCTGTACTTTATCACCATAAAGTCTCATCTAGCTAGGACCTCAGAGAATAAAATGCTAAGTTAGAGAGAGGAGACACAATGTTCTGCATATAAATGACCTCACTCTCTGCTTCATCCCACAAAACATTAAAATTTAAACGGCCAAGTTCTATAATAAAGGTAAATGCAAAATGCCAAGAGAACCCTAAGGACAGAGTGTTAAAATCTTCCAGGGTGGTGGGGTGAGGAGTGGGGAGAGGAGGAACATTTGAGCCTGGTCTTGGAGGAGAGAGAAAATAGGACTGATGGACCGCATGCAGGCAGCGGGAGCGGCTGGCCGCCACGTGTGTGTACACGTGGGTATCTGGAGAATAGAGAGCTGGCTATGGCGGCTGAAGCGAGGTGGGAGATGATGTTGGAAAGGGACAATGGGGACAATTTGTGAAGAGCCCTTTATGCCATAGTAAGTAGGAAGTAACCTCCATCCAGCCTTCTCCTTACTTTTTTCCTCAGCCCTGCAACCTCAGCCTCCCAGATTCAAGCGATCTTCCTGCCTCAGCCCTGCCTCAGCCCCCCTAGTAGCTGGGATTACAGGCACGCACCACCGTGCCCAGCTAATTTTGGGATTTTTAGTAGAGACGGGACTTCACCAAGTTGGCCAGGCTGGTCTCGAACTTCTAACCTCAGGTGATCCACCGGCCTCGGCCTCCCAAAGTGCTGGGATTACAGGAGTGAGCCACCGCGCCCAGCCTCTGTCCCTGCTTTACCTAGCCAATGCAGTTTCTCATGCATTTTTCTGAAGCTATTATGTTATTACATAAATTCACATGCATGTAAGTATGAATGTATGTAACGATTACACACACATTTTTATATACAAACAGCAGCATACTGCTTTGGTGCAATTTCTCTGGACTATGCAACATCCCTTATGCTCTCCCTGGCCTTTCCTGCGTCAACAGCTTTAATCCTGCTGTCATGACCTTTCCTGCCCTGGCTCTGCCTGGTGAACTTCTACCCATCCCAGAGCCCAGCTCAAATGCTACCTCTCACATGAGGCCTTCCAGAAGCTCCCAATAAGCAATATATTTCTCCCTTATCTGAGCTCACATGTCATCTTTAAATGCTTTCACATTTTTTTTTTGAATACTGATTACATGCCTATCATAATATTTTAAAAGTACAAAAGGGAAAAATATATCTCCCTGCTAGGCCTGTCCGCCAGTGCCCAGGCCACTTTCCCAGAGGCAACCATCGCACTAAGTTTCTCATGCATTTTTCCAAAGGTATTACATTATTACATGAATTCACATGCATGTATGTATAAATGCATGTGTGTAATTATCACACACACTTTTTTTTCTTTTTTTGAGACAGAGTCTTGCTCTGTCGCCCAGGCTGGAGTGCAGTGGTGTAATCTCAGCTCACTGCAACCTCTACCTCCTGGATTCAAGCGATTCTCCTGCCCCAGCCTCCCAAGTAACTGGGACTACAGGCATGTGCCACCACACCCGGCTAATTTTGTATTTTTAGTAGAGATGGGTTTCACCATGTTGGCCAGGCTGGTCTCAAACTCCCGACTTCAGGTGATCCACTGACCTTGGCCTCCCAAAGTGCTGGGATTACAGGCGTGAACCACCACACCCAGCCTCATACATACATTTTTATTTACAAACTACAGCATACTATACTTTACTCCGTGATGTCTTTCTCACTTAATAATGGATTATAAATCTTTTTCCTTATCAGTAGATTGAGTCATCTAACTCTTTCTAAATTCCTTTAGTACAAGACTAAACAATTCCTTCCATCATGGATAAATCTGAAAATATAAATATGATTTTAAGAGTCCATGTGGTGGTTGAGACTTTTCTCACTATACTGTATATAGAGGCAGCTTGTGGTGATCAGAGCCCTGGACTGACGGTCAGGCTTGAATCCCAGCTCTGTCACTAGTTATGTGACCTTGCTCCTGCCATTTAGCCTCTCCAAACCTGTTTTCTTATCTGCAAAATTAGGCATTGAACTAGATGGGTTCTCAAGGCCCCTCCGAGGCTGGTAGTTCATGTTTCTGTGAACCATCAATATCACATGCTGCCTTGAGAGCAGATTTGAATAGAGAAAAGGGTGAAGGAGCAGAGAGACTAAAGCTCCTGCCACCAGATGACCTTTCCCTACTCCCAGGCTGTTGCTCACGCCTTCCTTGCCTTCCATAACCTTCCCTCTCTACCCCTAGCCTTGGCCCACTGAGCCTGGGCTCATCAGCCAAGCTAAGCACAAGGGGCCCCAGCAGGTGTCTGATTTCCAAGACTGGCCAGTAGCCCCTGTCTTATTGTTACACAAGGAAGAACAGAATTTGGATATGTTTTCCTGGGAACATGTTCCATCCCAGT